CCGTTTTAGGTAGGCGTGGCTGACTCTTAACTTTTATAAAGAATATCTCTTTGGATTTGAGACTTTAGTCTTTGCAACTTTACAGATCTTCTTTATGCACCAAGAGCTTGTAACACTCCAAAGAGAAAGGAAACACTGAAATCGCATCTTATGATCACTTTAACAGAACGTTTCAGACAGAGAAACAGTAGGTGGATTGGCATTAGAGAACATTTTGTTATAGAAGCATGGTTTGGTCAAAAAAAAAGGAAAAAAAAAAGTTTTGATTCAGCTTTGATTCTTCTGTTCAATCAGGTTTTTACTGACAGTGGCGTCATAAAACGGAAAAATGACAGAGTGCTCATAATGCAAATTATGATTTTATTCCATTACAGCCATTAAGGCGGGCGCAGAGAACAGGTTTTAAAATGAGCCTGTAGTTACGGTTTTCATAAACAGGAAGTTGTGGCATTATGTTAGACGTCTGAGGCAGACTGTACCGTCATTGTAAGTTTGTCATCTTCTGTTGTTCACCATGTGTCTGGAAAAAGGAAGTTTGTCATGTTCTGTCGTTTATCTGGAAAAAACTCATTGTGGTTTCTTCTAACTCTAAGCACATGCAGCTCTAAGAAAAAAAACCTAGCCTAACATTTTCCTATAGACATGTGCGAGACACATTTTATCTCTCCTCCCCTTTATCTCTCTCAATTCATCTCCTCTCCATCCACTCAGCCCGAAGTGCATCGGCCGAACCTGCTCTTAAAGGATCACTTTTGATCATTTCTGGCCAGAAAGTCATTATTAAAGTGCATGACACCCTCTTCGCGACTGGGAAACTCAGCTGTGTCACTTTTCTGAGGTGAGGTCACACGAGACGAGTTGGACTTGAGGCAGTTCTGGGACTGAGGTTGTAAAGTTACACTGCTGGGATTGGGTGGACACCCTTCTCTGGTTGGAGCTGGTGGAGAACATTTTAATCATAATCCGTCGTGTTGATTTCCAGGTGAGATTCTCTCATTTTTTTGGGCTGGTTTTGTTACAAGAACTATTAGAATAATGGTGAACGAGTGTGTATTTGTAAATAAGATAAAATCAGAGGGTGGACATGCTTGTTTGTTTCATGTGCTATAGATAGCAACACTACTAATGCAGTCCTCAGACATTTGATCCTAATAATTTACAACACTGGGATGTGTATTCAGGGCATCCGATAAAACGGCAGACACTTGTAGTATAATAAGGAGTTTTGAAAGTACATTTTTGTAACATTTGAAATATTTTATCAGACAAATAGTGTGTTTTGAAGTTAATAAGTTGCATTGTGCCAAATCAAGCTAAAGTAATACATTTGGGAGATAATTATACCTTCAAAAAGGTAACAGTTGACAATTAATTTGATATTATATTATGATATTGTTAAACTATGAGGTGCGTCTCAGAATTTATTGAATTTATCAACTGACAGTCATATAGCATGCAGAAAAAGATGGGACTTTCACTTGTCTTTGAAGAGTTATTTTCTTGAAATGATGGTGTAATTATGATGGTTTTAAGAATGAGTCATTAATGGAGTAAACAGGGACATATGGTGGTAACAGCATTGGCATACAGCCTGGAGATATAATTTGAAGTATTTTTTAATGTGTTGTACGTCAAAACTATTATATAATACTACTATATAATAAAAAATAAAAAATGAAATAAAATAAAATATAACAACTCACCTGAGTTACCCCTGTTAACATAATTTTGCCCTGCAAAGTAATGAACTAATCCATTAATAAGTTAAAATTGGTATAAACATGTTAAAAAAATGTCATAACATACATATATATATATATATACATAAAGAAATAAAATAAAAGTTGCAAAACAGCGAATTTGACTAAAAAAATATAAAAATCTTAAATGAAATATTTTATGGAAAAGATGCAATCTAAGTAAATGGAACATAT